GTGGAAAAGACAGGGACTACACTGCAGTATAGTCGATATTCCTGGAATAGACTGCTGGAACAGAATTGACTCCAGGAACAGAATAGCCAAAGGAGTAATAGACAGAAGGAACCGAAGGCTATAGAATAGAACGAGGAAGAGTGCTGTGCTGTGCTGAAAAAGACAGACCGGAGAAGACAGGGACTACACTGCACTATAGTCTATTCCTGGAATAGACTGAAGGAACCGAGGGCCGGAATAGGAATACAGGAAGAGAGCAGGCTACAGGAGCAGAGTAGCCTGCAACAACAGGACAGACTGCAGTTGTACAGAACAGTCAGCCGCACCAAAAAAAAAAAAAAAAAAAAAAAAAAAAATCCAGCTACTGAGTAGCTTGCAAAACCATAGCCAAAGTCCATTACCCTTCTTGACCCGAATACGACGTACGGTCATTATAGCTGTATGTATTTGGGGTATCTTTCAGTCTACATACATCACATCACTAATGACCGTACGTTGTATTCGGGTGAAGAGGGCAGTACAACAAACGGAACCGCACTAACGGAATAGCAAAAATACAGAACGCTAGAAAAGGAAAGCACTCGACTGCTCCATTCCTGATCAGGAAAAGATTGCAAACCCCGAAACCTACCAGAGAAACAGCAAGGGTGAAAAAAAAAAAAAAAAAAAAAGGAAAAAACAAGAAAAAAAAAGAAAAAAAAAAGAGAAACAGCAAGGGTGGAGAAACAGCCGAGAGAGGGGAGGATAGGAGAGTAGGGTCATAACGACTGCCTCCCACTACCGTCTTCCCCCGAACACAAGGCACCCTCATTCTGACTGTATCTGGGTGGAAACATACCTTGTATGCGTTCCTTTTCAGGGTGCGTTATGTTCGGGGGAAGACGGTTGCGCCGTTACCTCGGAACTTAGCTTTTTTTTCCCCTCCGTTGTCTTTTACCCTCTGCCTCCGTCATCTTTTTTTACCCACTGCCTCCGTCATCATTTTTTACCCACAGTCTCCGTTATCTTTTACCCACTGTCTCCGTTATCTTTTACCCGTTTCCTCCGTCATCTTTTTCTACCCGCTGTCTCCATTATAACTTTAGTTTTTTGTTTTTTTTCCTCCGTTATCTTTTTACCCACTGTCCCCGTTATCTTTTACCGCTATCTCCGTCATTTTTTACCCGTTAGTCCGTTATCTTTTACCCACTGTCTCCGTCATCATTTTTTACCCACTGCCTCCGTCATCATTTTTTACCCACAGTCTCGGTTATCTTTTACCCACTGTCTCCGTTATCTTTTACCCACTATCTCCGTCATTTTTTACCCGTTTCTTCGTTATCGTTTACCCACTGTCTCCGTCATGATTTTTTACCCACGGTCTCCGTCATCATTTTTTACCCACTGTCTCGAAGGTTCTCTGTATCGTTAAAATTTTAACGGATGTCTCGAAGGACTCGTGGTTAAATTTTACCCGTCCGCATCCCCTTTTTATTTTTTCCGGTCCGTTCGTAGTTTACCCGTTGTCCTCCCAGTCATCTTTTACCCGTTATTTCCGTTATATTCTTACCCACTGTCTCCGTTATTTTCCCCCCTTTATCTCCGTTATATTCTTACCCACTGTCTCCATTATCTTTTCCCCGTTCTCCGTTACATTTACCCACTGTTACCGTTACATTTTACCCCCCGTTGTCTCAGTTAAATTTATCGATTGTCTCCGTTACATTTTAATCGTTGTCTCCGTTAAAATTTTACCCCCGTTGTCTTCGTTATATTTTACCTGACAAACAAGGTTCCTTCCATGAACTACGCACCCCAGGTGGCTGAAAGGTACACACACTAACCCACACATTTAACTGGTAATGGATCGACCTGGGGTTAGTGTATCTGTTCTGACCAGTGATCCGTTGTCCACCGTAAGACATCTCAAATTCCAAAAAAAAGAAAAAAAAAAACTGTGAACAAGCAAATGACGGGTTCAATCCCCGATGGAATCAAAGGGGCACTACAATGACCAGAGCTACGACGGACAGAGACAGAAGAGAGAGAGACAGAGAGAGAGAGAGAGACAGACAGACAGACAGACAGACAGACAGGAGAGAGAGAAGCAGAGACAGACAGGAGAGAGAGAGAAGAGAAGAGAGAAGAGAAGAGAAAGAGAGAGAGAGAAGAGAAAGAGAGGAGAGAAAGAGAACAGAAGAAGGGAGAGAGAAGTGAAAGAGAGTAGAAACAGAGACAGACAAATAGACAGACCGAGACAGACAGACAGGCAGAGACAGGCAGAGGAGAGAGAGAGAGGAGAGAGAGACAGACAGAGACGGACAAAGAGAGAGACAGGGCAAGGAGAGAGAAAGAGAGAGAGAGAGAGAGAGAGAGAGAGAGAGAGAGAGAGAGAGAGAGAGAGAGAGAGAGAGAGAGAGAGAGAGATGCGATTAGCAATATCGGAGGCCAATGGAAGTGCAGAGATTCCCACCAGCCAATTGAAGACCGGCACGAGGCTGATGATGCCCATCACTCCAAATCGTAGATCGTCAGATCCCGTGAGCCCGCCTCCTCTCTCCTCCTCCTCCTCCTCCTCCTCGTCCTTCCACATGCCTATCCTCCTCCTCCCCTCCCTCCCTTTCCCCGCGGGCCCTACCGGCAGTAGAAGCGGCCATGCTGAGCTGGCCAGGCAAGCACCAATAGCGATTGCGAACGGTGCATCTGTCTCCAATGACGCTGCCCATCTCCACCTCCCTCTCCGGGCATGTCCTCTGTCTCCCTGTCGCTTCAGGATCAGAAAACACACAGAACAGGGGGGGGGAGAAGAGGAAAGAACCACCTTCAGATCGCATATAGCATATATTGTCACACTGTGAATCGGATAGCGAAGGCGAAAAAAGATTAAAAAAAACAAGGAAAGGACGTAAGAAAGGAAAGAGAGCCCCACCTGTTCATCACCTCTTACGTACAAGGCCAGCCACATACATATATATCATCACATGAATATGAGAGCGCAAAAGCGAAAAGAAAAAAGAAAAAGAAAAAAAAAAGAAAAAAAGAAAAAAAAATCTTCTTCCTTACAAGACTCCCCCTGTTCAGAAAGAACCTCTTTTGCGTACAAGGCCGCCCACGTGGATGTGGGTTGAGCGGCGGCTGCCCCCACCCCCGTGTGTCATATCGACCCACTTGCACACAGCCAGAAGGCAACGAGGCAAAGAAAAGATGAAGGGAACAGCCAAATAATACAGAACAGGGGGCAACAAAACAAATCCCAGATGGCAAGTCCCACATGCAAGCACCGCCCCAACCCACAGGCCAAACGACGGGACGAGACCAACCAGGATATCGAAACATTCTTGTCTGCAAAGAAAGCAAAAAAGAAAGGCTCCGATCCCAGAGGCAAAGAGGCAAAGAAAAGAGGAAGGGAACAGCCAAATAAAACAGACAGAACAGGGGGCAACAAAACAGATCCCAGATGACAAGTCCCACATGCAAGCACCGCCCCATATATTGTCACATTGTGAATCAGAGCGCAAAAAAGGGAAAAGAAAAAAGGAAAAGGAAAAAAGGGAAAGGGAAGGAGGTAAGGAAAGCTCCACCTGTTCATAACCTCTTACGTACAAGGCCAGCCACGTGGATGACAGTCAAACAGAGCTGCCTGCGGTAAACCGTAGGCAGAGAGGGAGGGAGGGAGAAAGGGAGAAGAGGACAACAAACGAGGGGCTGTGGCAAACTGTTTCGTATATATATATATATATACCTCCAGTCCCCCAGGAAGAGGAGGATTTCCCACGCCATAGCTTTTTCTTCTGATTATGATTTTTCTTCTTCTTCTTCCTCTTCGCGATTCCTCTTTGCCCATCTTCCTCTCTAACGGCAACTGCGACGACAACGACGACAAGTCTCCCACCATCGCGATCGCCCACGTGTCACTTTCTGGCGCATCTCCCCCCCTCCTCCTCCTCCTCCTCCTCCTCCTCCCCACCGCCGTCCACATTCCCGTCGAGATCCCATCCACTGCTCCAGATCTTGCGGCTATGGCGGTCGAGATCCCGACACTCGAGCCACTGCCGTACGATCCGTGGCAGGAAGAAACTGCCGTACGAAAACGACAAAAAGTACTGCTGGTGATCGGTGTGCCGACACGACTACGAAAAGTAGGAGAAGAAGGAGAAGAGCAGGCCGGTGACACGACGAACGATCGGTATCCCGACAGCCCGCGCCGGCAAGCGACAAACTGTTCCTCCTCAGCGAGGCAAGTGCGGTGGTGACTGTGATGATGACTGGAATTTCTTTGAAAGCTGCTGCGCGCGCTCCTTTTCCCAAGATCGTCTCCCGCCGAATCTCTTCTTCCCGCCAAATCTCTTCTTCCCGCCACGTCGCAGGAAGACTTGACACCATTGACTCTCATGACAGATCTGAAACGATGACACGTGTCGGCAATCTCTTTGGCTCTCGCTCTCGCTTTCGCTCCTCCTCCTCCTCCGCATCCCGACCCTCCACAGCCTCCTCTCGCTGTCAACAAATATTCCCTCCCGCCAATACCCGCCCGGATGGCCATCGCCTGCGACATCGCTGCTGGCGCGCAGCGGATAACAAATGCCACGTGGCGTCAGAGCGCCGCGACACGTGTTTCTTTCTGTCGTCTACCTCAGCGCCGCGTGTTTCATCGATCGAGAAGAATATGAACTTCGAAAATTACATCTGTTAAAATTTTAAAATTGGAACGATACAGAGACGATCAGCATGGACGGAAGGGAAGGRGAGGGGGGGGGGGGGGGGGGGGGGGGGGGRRGSGGGGGGGGGGGGGGGGGAAGGGGAACAATTGCCAGTAGTGCAACCAGGGCCTTACGAGTAGTGCTACCGTCTCACCCCGAACATAACGCATATGCGGTAGGTAACTGAGAGGTGAACTAGAGAGAAGAATGGAAAGAAAAAGTGCCACGTGGAAAAAAGCCACGTGTCAACCAAAAAATCGCGAGATTCGACAGCTCAGCTGGGGAATCTGGTCTGGGATCCCCCGTCATTCGTCGCTTTTGCCGGCACGCGGCCAGTCTGTCTCTAAGGGCATACTTAGGGAGGGACCCGACAGGCTGGCGAATTCCCCCCCCAGGAACCGCAAAGCGCTTTCGCGGACCCCGCACGTCCAATAAAGTGGCCTGGAAGGGTATGCCAGGGCTTTTCCACTCGGCCGCGGCCTCGTCAGGCTTACGTGGACAGGGAAGGCTACGGTAGCCCTGGGGGACCTCTCCCGTCGCCAGCGAGACAGGAACGCGAGTGAACCAACGGACAACGGTGTGGTCCAAACGGGAAGACGAGGTTCGAAGGCTGTGGCAAGGTTATGTCGCATGGCAGGCCCTTTGTGTCCGTTGTGCTTGCAATCGCGGGAATGGTTCGTGTGCCAAAAATTCAAATTCGAAAAGGTTGTGGGGATGGGTTGGCAAGCGGATTGAAACAGCCACACAGGACGTGTTGCTCCAGGTGCTGCAGTGGGACCCCAGGTGGGGGGGCAACCAGGAGCACGGTGCATCCACGGGCATGGGCGGGCATGGGGCAGGGGCTGGTGGTATCAGGTCGGTGGGTGTCCCCCAACCCGTGTGCAGTGCATGGCCCCTGTGTGTCTACCTCTCTACAAAGGGCATGGCCATGCATACTTTTGTCGCCGTTAAGTGTCATCATTCACGATCCTTCGCCCCCATCGTCCTGTTGCGTGGTCGTCATGCACCTAATAGATGCACGTTGTCGCACTTTTTCCAATCAAACCACTCTTGGTCATCGAAAAGACAACAGGCTGTCACACAAGATTTTTTATGTTTTAGCACTAAATAAATAATTAATTAGTGCAAATCCCTTCTTGTTATGTGCAGCCAGCTTCGAGCGAGACCCTTCAATTACGGTCTACGCCGGACCCCAGTCTTATAAACAACAATGATCATATAAATAATAAAATTAAAATTATATATACCCTGCATATATCAAGTTTGGAAATTTAGGAATTTGTTAACGGTGATAAGATCAACAGAGAGCATAACATCAAACAATGTCAATCATAACGAATCAACACTGACTAACTTATGGCAAAAACAATATGAATGAGGAAAAGTGATAACTCATAATAATCTAAAGAAGTACAAATGAAAAGATATGGTCAGCACTCATAAAGAGTCCTCACTCATCCCTCTTAAGTCTTATCATTTTCTGAAAATTCAGTGACGACAACGAAGATTAACAAATTTTTTTGTCTGAAACAGAATGCGCTTACATATTGGTACTGGATAACATCCTTGGAAGTTACCTTGTTGAGACAGGTCAAAACAGTCCGTTGAGTTGAAAATGATGTCATTGTACTAATGTGTCGAAGAGATTACTCGAACATCTCTGAATGATGATCATGACGAACTCAGATAGAGGGTGACCCAAAAGATGTTGGTGATAATTTCACTAATTGAATGTCTCGGATAAGAACATTGTAGGATTAATGTTGATTTGTGTGATGATCGATAATGACTGAATAACAATAGATACTGACTCAAAATTACTGATGATGTCTTGGATAACTGAAAGCAGCCCAGTAACAGGCCACTGAATGCGAACCACGGATAATAGGGTACTGAGAAGGGTTCTTGATTACTGAATGATTAGTTGGTAAGATATTTTAGAGAGCAAAGTTTGCGAACAATCATATTCACATTAATTTTTCTCTGTCTTGCTCAACAGTCCCTAGTGATGAGTCGATAATGTGCAGTTTGTCAGAGTGATTATGAAAATAAAATACATATTCGATGTATTTCTTTTCGCCGATTATCGAGACTGCACGCTCTCTCATAATCAGTTTTTGAAACTTCATGTCTTGATTGGTTTCTACCTCTCATTCCTCATACTTCTCTTTACTATACTTGTCTTCGTTGATCTTGCACTTTATTACCGATGTTGGAGCAGACACCCTAACAAAGGTATCTGCTCACGATTTTTTAATGTCAAACGTTGTCAGACCTTTTCACTGAATTGAAGGACTTTATAAGACTGACGTTTATCAAAAGTTCATTTCAACTAACCTATGACCGAGAGACTGAAACTTTTTGAACTTTAGTTCAGACGTTTGTGTCGTGGGCAGTTTATAGCGAGCCGCAAAGAGGCGCGGATGTGGAAATGCTAAAATTATACCTATTCTATATACAATAATGGCGCACGGCTGCTAAGTCGCGCGATTCAAGGCCTAAGTAGGCATAGAAGAATGGTCCCGTGGGGTATGGGGCCGCGACACGATAGGGTAAAAAGTTTTTCTTTTCTTCATTTTCTGGGGGGGTTGACTTCGAGACAGGGGGCCAACATGCCAATGTCGAGGCCTACCCGTTTGGGTAACCTCCAAGCCGAGGATGGCCAGCCATCCATAAGAAAGGGGCAGATAGGCGAGCAGACAGAGTTTGTTGGGCCACAAGCGAGGAGGAGTACCCCATACCACTTCTTAAAGGGAGAGACAAGTAACACTTCAAGTAATGCATATGATAAAAAATCATCCGCAAAATATCCTGTTATCCAAGAAAATCAGAAACGTTTGGAAATGGACGTGTGTCTGCCTAATCTTAAGTAGGCGATAAGTGGAATGAATGACTTTGTTCATCAAGTCAAAACAAAGGCAGTTCAACTACCTTGTCGACTGCATCGAGGTTATTGTCGGAAGCCAACTCCTCGTTGGCGGTTGTATAATATATTTTTATAGAGTATGACATTGGGTGTTCGAGCTTCATTTTGATATCGTGTTATTGAATGTATCAAACGATGATTTGATTTTTTTTTTCGATTCGATATATATTCCTTTCGACTACAATCGACTCCTTTCGAAGTGATTATATGTGGTTGTTATAACTGTTTTTTAAAGGGACTAGGGTACTTGTGAGTTTCACGTCTGGATGAAACCATCCTAGTCGACCGGTGCTTGTCTCCAGCTTGAGAGATCAACGCCGTGAGCAAATAGGCAACGTCCGGGGGTGCGATGACATTTTATTCAAGTGTATATATGCTACAGCGAAACGAGGAAACACCCTCGACCGACCTACCTCTATAACTGCATGTAAAAACTTTCACATGCGAGTCAGTAGCTCAGTAAGGATACACCCCTAAGGGTGGTGACGACCCTTTAGGGAAGATAAGTTATGCCCCACGAAAAGCTATCTTGTCTTAGGGGACCTCGAGAAGTACAGTTGGCGCACCTCGCTAGAGCGGCGAAGGGACAACACAACCTCGTCCGTCTCGGTTGTTCGCAAGATTATTTACACGTTGTCCCCAAGTTGTCTCTGTTTTTGTTTCGTTTAACTATTGCATGACACGACTGAGAGGGCTCACCTCTTTTTCAAAAAAAAATGGGAATCGGTGTGCTATACACCAAAATTTCCTCACCGTTCAGGATTTTCTTCTTCCTATGAAGTTTAGGCATTGGTAGGAGACAAAAAAAAGGAGTAATAATCAATAAACCAATAGGTTTTATACTCAACAGAAAACTGGTAGTTTTTAGGCTCAAGGTTATCATACTTTCTTCTCACATTAAAATTACCAAGAACTCTGATCATGCCCGTCCCTCAATTTATTGCCGCTGTTTACATATAACAAAAGGTATGCAACACTGGATAGAATAAAAAAATAAAAGTCAAACTGTTATTTTTTTAATAAAAAAAAAAAAAAAACTCTTTTACGATAAAGGAGGCAAAAAACAAGGTGAAAAGTCAATTGTTCCTCAAAATGTGCAAGAAAACCCTTTTTTGCAATTTTTTTTTATATGGCTATAAGTCGTTCTCAGTAGATTTACAAAAAACAAAGCTCAAATAGGACAATTTTTAAGGACTATAAGGCAAACTTAAAAAATGTAAAAAAAAACGAATTTTTGTAAATACTAATTTATAGAACTATAAGTCATTTTCAGCAGTTAGGTAAAAACCAAGATATGGAAAAACTAATTTATAGGACTATAAATCAACTTTGACATCAACAGTAAAACCATTGCCTAAAAACATATATTATATAAAATAAGAATGCAAACAACTTTTGTTAGGGAGACATCTTCAAATTTTTAGTCAAACACGAGTTTAACATTTAAAATAGAAATGAGAAAAAAATAAAATAAACAGTAAAAAATAATATGTTCGCTCAGGCATGGGAGAATATATTTGAGCGTTTTGAAACCCCACCGAATAGGTTCATCGTGCTTTACATCTTATAAGACAATAGACATGATTTTTTTAGATAACAAAAAAATTAGATATTTCAGTTCTTGGAATATACGCTACATCACCAGCTAGTGATTTAATGTGGAAAAACTGGTTTTTTTCCTCACCACTTCCAGTGGTTCTCAAAAAGTAATTTTTTTTTTTTTTTTTTGCGGTTGTTTTACTTCATATAGAATTTTGTTCCTAGAGGAGGACTAAAAAACGTAGTATCACAATCTGGAATACATTTCGTGCAAACCTAACAATTTGTTTTATTAGGTTTTCACAGATCTTGTGTTATATCTGATATTGTCTCTATGTTTTTATTCGTCGATTAGAGAACGAGTGAAACTAACAGTGAATCTCATTCTACTGATTAATAATTGTCTTCACCCGAAGTCTACAATAGGAGTTTGTCAAGTTGTTGAGTTCAATGTTTTGTGATTATCTTTAACTCC